TTGCTGTGATTTCAACTTTGGTTTTGTGCTTCGTGCCCCGCCACTAAGACCAGAATGCTGTATTTCTGTGCAGTCATGTGTCAGTCAGACTAGAAGTCCTCATGCACATGGAAAGTTTCATCCAATATTGTAAAAAACAATGACAAAAAAAACCCCCTGCTCAATCTCCTCTGAGACCAAATTAAATAATATTCTCTCCTTCTAGTTATTTGTGCAAGGTGCAGTATTTGTGATTCAAACTGAAGCAAAATCATCTCGGTCTTTTCACGATGCCAAATTCACTTTGTGTTCTGTTTGGATGCACCAAGGGTTGGTTCTGGGTGAAGGACCACGCTCAGAGACTCAATAACAAACCCATTCTCACACTTCACTTCACTCCAGCACCCAAGCCGAGTTTCAAGAATGTTCCCATAAACGTGCGGAGAAAAGCTGCATTGTATCATCTGTATTTGTTAAAGGTTATAAAGGTGATATTTTATATTCTTTTTTATTATTATTGTCAACATACCCGGTGTAAAGCCCAAAGCCAACAATAAACTGATACGGCTGCATTCAAAGCCTGCTATATATTCCTCTGTGACTTAGACCTTCATATTTAACCAGTGAGCCACATCATTGGGTGATGTGATGTTCCGTCACTACCACAAACATGGGCACTGTAGTTTATTTTGAGATGCTCTCGGAACTGTCGTGCTGTCATAAATTACTAGCACACCAAACCTGCAGCTGAAAGTAGTCCCACTCTTTACTCCTGTTTGAGTAACATTTGCCAAAAGCCACGGCTCTCAGGTGTTTTTAGATTTAATTAAATATTTGTGATCTGTTTTCAAAGATTCATCTCTTCAGTGAGAATGGTTGGGCTTGGGACAGAGTGCCACAGACAACCTGGGAATGTTGGAAAGTATTGAGAGACTAATGCGCTGTTAGTTTTAGTCTTTTTATGGAATTTGTTAACATACAGAATATCACCTACTGCACTGACCTCTATAGGTTGAAAAGTATGTTAAATGGTGACAACTTACACCAGACGATGGTCCATAGACAAATGTTTGTAAAGTATGATTTAGCCGCTAAGTTTAGTAACCATTCTCTTCTGTGAATGTGGTCATTCTCTGTCTTTGAGACATGACTGCCATGCTTGGAGAGGCTGTGTGATTCCTACTAATTCTGTGTCAGCGTTCCACGCCCTGTTGCTGTGCTCTATACATAGAGAATGACTTAGAGGTGTAAAGCCTTCACACCATAGAAATAGATTCATCATGGCAGCTTCAAACAGATGCTGCATGAAAACCTCATAAATCCAATTTCAGAAAATTACATGCCTCCCTTTGGACCTGATTTGAAATTACGTCGAGTGTTTTATGTTTGGATGTTGAGAAAATATCAAACTCAGAAATTGTGAAACTCATTCAAAATCAAGCAGAAATTCAAATGCATCAAACAGTATGTAAAGTCCTGTGACCGTTTGACATACAAGGGTTTTTTCTGACACCAGATTATGTAAAGCCAGCTCAAATCTCAATAGGACTAAAAGGGTAAGTTCAAACTGTTCAGTTCAAGTTAATGTTATGGCTAAAATCTCCTCTAGACAAAAAATTATTTACTGAGAATAAAAAAAATCAAGGTGCACTGAGTAAAATAACAATAATAGGTAGATGTTAAGGATTTAAATGGAGTTGACACCAACAACTCAGTGTCATTCATCACAAACCACCAAGATGTCCAGGTGTTTTTGGAACATTGAAATTTTCAGTCCGAAACACCAGCACGGTTAAAACTTAAGATTCATTCTTGCTCAGCAGTTATCAGCACATAGTAAACTCCATTCTGAAGCTTCTGATCATATGACTTGATCTTCCTCAGCAGATGAAGTTTGCCCAGTTGTCATACAAATACAGATGTTCAAGTTTCTTTTTTTTCCTGAGCACATTTGGTCCACTTTGGCTTAAAGGATGAGACTGAGGGTTCGTTCTTGACTTGTGACTGTAAACAAAATAATTCACCATGAGGCAACCGGTCAACTCCAGCTGCTCAGAAAGAGCATGTGATACAATTGATAGCTCCAGAGCAGCTCCTGTGGTGAAAGGGTTTTTGTTGACCTATCAAAGTAGGAATAGAATAGCAAGAAGCAATCTCATGTGAAGCCATCAAGGCCAAAGAAAGACAGGCTGCGGTAAGTATAGGAAACCGTAACATACAAGTATGTGAAAGAGCCACATGTATCAACAGTGGCTGTAAATAACGAGTGATTAATGTGCAATGAGGGTTTAGAGGAAGCAAAACCACATAGTATATAGTTGAAATTCTAAAGGAGAATATCCATTTCATAAATCTTTTCACCTTGTCACTGGCTCTTACTGCAACACATAATACACAACTGCATCTGTTGCATCTTAACTGTAAGTGCAGTTGTTAAAACAACATGGCAAAGACATATTAGATGCATAATGTAGTGATACTACAAGCCTGAGCTGGGGTTGACATTGGATGTGTAGCTCGCTGAGAGAGCGATTTCTTAAACATGTGTTTGACACTTAAAAACAGACACACGTGCACATACATACTCTCATTTCCACTTTTCTAACGATCACACAGTTCTCTCCACACATCTGTCGACATGTGATGAGGCAGCCAGGGTTGAAATTAATAGTTGTGGTGAGGATTTGGCATCTTTGGATATAAACATTTACATTCTGAGCCACATGATATGCTCATTACCGCCATAGCTAGCAGCTGTCAGCATTATAGGTCCTCAGCTTATCTGTGCTGGAGGGTGCAAGGCCTCAGGCTGCGCCAGCAGTTGTGGTGGTCCTTATCATAATTTACAATCAAGTAGTCACTTTGATTCTGCTAAAATGTACATCAGGCCTCTGCTTCAGCTGTTGTAACAGCTGGCTGTGGTTATAGTTATCACAGTTTGCACTTAACAGGGTACATTGCAAACACTTTGGGCGATTAACAGATTCATTTCTGTGACATTTTATTATCCCTATTACAGATATGCTGTACACTGTATTCTGTGATCTGTGTGTGTGTGTGTGTGTGTGTGTGTGTGTGTGTGTGTGTGTGTGTGTTTGTGTGTGTGTGTGTGTGTGTGTGTGTGCGCTGTTGGTTGGGTTGAGTGTAAACAAATGAACAGAGCCAGCATTCATGACTGGTGAATTTGGAGTTGGCTGGCAGGCAGGTAAACAACCATATTTTTGCTGCTTCATAAATTCATAACCTTCGACTAAAACTGACATCCTGCTTACATAAGATTTTTAGAAGCAGCCCTGGATAAAATTCACAACTGCACTGAAAGATGACCTTCATTTAATGAGCAGGAAGAATAAAGACAGTTTTCACTGAAAATTTGCCTAATTCTGGCAGATCTGTGTGGGATTTCAATGTAGTAGTACTTATTAGAAAGAGGCTGCAACAAAGCGAATTTACCGTCTTTGCGTGGCTGACCAATGTGCAATGAATTAGCAATTGTCTTAATACATTTACAAAGGTGTGAATGTGGAAATACTTCACACGGAAAAAAATCACAAAAAACCCACAACAATTTAGAGGAGTAAGTATTTGCTATCGCTACATGGCCAAAGTTAGCGCTAATAGCTGTGTTCAGCTTCAAACTTCACTCCTTGTGGAGACCAACACCAATGCTAACTCTTGTTTTACTTCTATTTCCATCCCTTCTTTTCTTTATCACTGAGTGTTATATTTTGGCCTCTTGAGGTACAAAGTGGTATAACTAGAGGTCAACAGGTTGGGGCTAGCTGGTTAGCATGCTAACTTTAGTAGATATCACTGCAAGACAATACATCAGCGCCTTTTATATAATGTCAAAACTGTTATTTCTTCACATGCTGTAATTAATTTTAGTTAATTTTTGAATTTTTGAAAGTAAAATACTTAAGTATAACACATTTAAAGTACCGTGATTATGTATATTTTGTTGATACTCCACTGAGTGTACCTTTTCTCCTTCATCTGTCACTGTCTCACAGCCATACACACTGACTATCTCTCTCTCTCTCTCTCACACACACACACATAGACACACACAGCTTGTCTTGAGTAATAGCACTTTGTTCACTGGAGACTGTGTAGCTAAATATACCAGTAACTGATAGCCCTGCTGGTTGATGGGCAGGAACACTGCTGGCCCTGACACTGATACATAAGATGAATCGCAACAGACACCAGGGAGGGTGTATGTGTGTGTATGTGGGAGGTCAGTGGTGTTAGGGGGGCCTCTCTGCGTACCCAGAACTGTAGTGAATGATGAGTCAGAAGATTATTTGAATAAAGAAACAAGTGCAAAACTGTTTTGAACAATGTCGACCAAAACTCAACTCAAAATTATTCAATTCTTTTAAAAATTAAAAAAAAAAAAAAGCCTTATAAATGAAGAAAGAAAAATGGCTATTTAGAAAAGCCTCTTCTCAAACACAATATATCAGGTCACTGGCCCTACCTTGACCCCCTTTTCTTGGCATTAGTGAGTACCTGTTCTGTTGACCTGAAACTACATTAGAGGAGTTTATTAGCTTTTCACCCAGGCCCTAATTGATATTTGATGGATGTTGCGATCATATCTTGGTCTCAGAATATAGTACAGACACTCAGCCTAACCCAGAGAGCCTCTGATCCTCAGCTCTCACATAGGCAGGACATACCACAGCTCTGTGGCAAATCTAAGACAGGAGCAGCGATTAAGAGTCACAGATCAACCCAGTCCGAGAGAAAAGAAGACGAAAGAGTGACGGGAATAGGGTCTGAGAAAGAGGGGGAAGCAGAAAGGAAGAGAGAGAGGTGGGAGAGGCCACTGCTGAACAGGAAGACAGATGTATCTGCAGTATAGTCCAACTTCACTATTCACACTTTTCTTCTCTTCTCTTCTTTGTTTTTTTTTTCTTTTACTATCTTCCTGTTTCTGGCCTTACCTGACTCTGTCTCTCTCTCTCCCCCCTCTTTTTCACACAGTTTTCTCTGTCCTTTTTGGGTGCACTAACCTGCAGAGGGCCGCTGGCTGGCATGGTGGATCTCAGCGATGTCAGGTCGATGTCTCGGCCCTGCTCCCCTCGCTCTGTCTTCCCCAGTCCCTGCATAATAAGGCCTGTAGCAAGCAAGCAACCAAGCAAGCGCACAAACACAATCGTGCACCAAGTGTTGCCCTTACTGCACAGAAAATGCTAATGCATGGATGGCAGTGGTCGGTATGAAAGGAAATTACCCTGGATGCCAGGCACCAAGCACCAGGCAAGGCCAGGGAGGACAGCAGAGGGACAAACAAATGGCTTATTCACCCCATCTTGGTCTCCCCCACTCCCTCTCTCTCACTTTGCACTCTTTCAGCCTGTCTCTCTGTCACTTTCTCTCTTTCTCTATTCTCCCTCTGTTCCAATTCTGGGTTGTAAAAATGCTAGAATACCAAATGCACCACCATATTGAAAACCAGGCAAATATTACCCGGGCGTTAGTCTTGTCCCTATGTATGGCTGTATTCGAATGATCGTCCACTGCAAACCAGTTCTGTCTATTTGTGCCTGTTTGCTCAACAAAAACATTCTGCAGTATTTCTGTTAAGTTAACTGAGGTCAGACGTGTTCCCAGTAAAGCACTGAGGCACCACTGTTAGGAGTTTACAGGTCTCTAAACCTGGGGACCCCCAGGCTCTGTAACATGGATCCAAAGACACCATGTGCACAGAAAACAGGCCTAGTAACATCAGGAGAGTTGGAGACAGATATTTCGAAGCCCGTATAAATAAAACAAAAACTATCTGCAGCGCCAAATACCAGCAGAGGTGAGTAAAAACTATGCAGAGAAGAGTTATTAAGTCAATGAAATGTCTCAGTAATATACATAAATAGAGCTAAAGTTAAGCTAAATCTAACTTTGCTATCATTTGCTAAGGTTAGCCACCGTAAGTGAGGCTGGATCAGCAAAACCCCAGAGTGTAATGAGTTGAGCAAGGCTCTATTTTATTGGTTATGAACTAAACCTTTTATTTGTAATAGGAAGAATGTGTTTTTTCTTTCAATAGTTCCATAATCCCGCTTTAATGTAAAAGAGGCTTAAACTCATGTACGTGTTAAAAGTGTGTAAATGCAGAGGAAAATAAATTAGGACACACTAACTGTGTGTTTTTAAATTGAAAATGAAGGTTTATTAGATTATAAGGTTGAATGGCCTTTTGTGAAACTGAGGTGACACAGGAATGTGCCGCTGTAGACTTTACGGCAGAAAGGGGAGTGACGGACAGAGAAGACGGAAAATAGACGGACAGAATCCCTTCAAACGCAGAGGTTACCTGTCAGTATGATAAAAAAAGACTCGCAGCGGACACACAAACATAACTCACCACAAACAAATACACAAATGATCCAAATTTATACCGGGATTGTTGTTTTTTCTCAGTGGCCAGCTTCTCGTATACAGCGCACACATCATACCACCAACACTGGACAACAAACACACACAGAAAAAAGAACAAAGTGTGTCTTTTCCTTCCCCTCTCTTGTTCAAATACTCAAACATAGCATGTCCTGGGGGGAAAGGCAGTTGTCAACAGTGATTAAACACACTGCCCCAAGCCCATAATCCTCAAAAAAAAAAAAAAAGGAAGGAATTTCATTATGTTAAGTGTATGTGAACAGAACATCACACACCCACATGGTTAGCATGTAACAGGTAACTTGGTGTATCACTTTTCTATTTTTGGGCTATAAATATGATTTCAGTCCTGCTGTGTAGCTCTCCCATTCCACATCTGTCTCACTTAATCATATTACATCCAGGACTATAATTATTAACTGTTGACAGAATTGAAGAGCATTGCCATTCATTTTCTGAGATAAGTATTGTATGGCTTAATATCCATCTGCCCTGATATCCTTTTGTAACACACTCCACTCTAATTGAATAGCAGAGCACAAGCACAAACAACCTATATCATTTTTTTTTCATTTTTCAATATTTTCAATATGGACAAACTGCTTATTTAAAACATGGATGCAGTTGTTGTGTAGTATTCATTTGCGATGCATGTTAAAGGACTGAGCTGTTGTCAGTTTTCTCTCATGGATCATCTCTGCTCTCTTCAGAGCTTGAAAGTTGGAAACATCGTCCCTTTTACTTCGTTTTTTCTTGACACATTAACATGTTTCCAGGAACTCTGCTAATCTCAGCTCACGCTGTCCGAGAAGTTATTTTGTTTTCATGGTTTTTGCAGAATTGCACCTCTGTTGTCTTTCTGGGATTTTTCGAGTTGTATAGTATCGATTCACCAGCACATAATGGACTATTTTACTTGTGCGTAGATTGTTGGACTATTTGAGCAATAGATTCCAAGTTAATCCCTAAATGAGAGGCTAAAAACGCATCGGCCTGCCCACAGATTTTTTTTTTCCCCTCCTGTAATCATTCCTAGAAACTCCTATAAATTTAGAGACAACTGTTATTCGGCCAAACCTCCTCATTCTTTGGTTCCTAGAAACAGAGAGTCTTCAGAAGATGACAGTTGCACTATTCACTGACTTCTCCCAGTTCTCAGAATGAATAGCTGCTGTGTAGATAAAATAGTTTGAGCAATAGGATGAACACATCTACTCATTCTCTTGGCTTACAGAGATTTACAGTGCGATGTTTCTGACAGACAGATTGTTAAATGTGTAATCCTGCTTTAGAAAGGTTGCTCTGCTTTGTTTCCATATACACAGTAAAGAGAAGAATAGACTGAAGCGTATTCCTCAGTGTTTGGTTCATGTTTCTACATGCAAATGTACATATAAGAGCTAAAACAGTAGCAGTACAAACAGTACCTGTAATTCTGTTTTATCCTCAATAAGCTTTTTCTATGTGAGTAAAGCCTCAAGGACACTTGTGCTCTTGATGTAGCAGTTTTACTTGACTATAAACAAAGTTGTGAAGAGGAATTGCGAAATGCTGACAAAACTTGCAACACAGGCTTTCTGTTTACAGTATCTTCTCTTCTGAATGAGAATAGCTTTCATTTGTGTAGAGGTTATTAATAACATGCTCTCCATGCAAATAGAGTTCAGTTGTGATTTGCCTGCAGTCATTTAAACCCATTTGTTTTGTTTTAAAAATGGCTCGTGCTGCTTGTGAAGGTGAAAGTGATACACACATCACATTTTACACGTGAAGCTGCTGCGAATAAGTGTAATGATGGGGTTTGTGTAATAAGGTACTTTCAGGTGAGAATGCATGGCCATGTTCTCCATCAAAACTATGTTGCTTGAATCATCATATGCTGTTTTACATTTACCTACGCAACAGCTACAAGCATGATACTGTTACCGAGGGGTTAATGAGGTGAAGTTACATACTGCTGAAGTAAGACCTTTGGAGGGAAAGCAATAGATTTGAGATGAGAATTTTTTTATGGACTGAATTTAATCTTAGACTTAAAGGCAAAACCTTTCATGTCTCAGGTTTTGACCTCCTATAACAATATAAATCCTAGAACAATAACACATGAAAAAGATACCTTGGGGTATGCTTTGCAGATTACATTTTAATGCCTAACTGGTTTCAGCTATATAAAAAAATACAATTTACACAGCTGTTAAAGTAAATTACAGTGAAAGGATGTTGCTGCATTGATGTTGTTTAATTTGCTTCCGAAGACTTGACTTGACAGTGACTGTCCCCAAGGACCTGAAACTTGAGTTGAAACTTGCTCTGTCAGATTTGTGGCTTACTTTACAATTGCCTCAAATGACTTGAGTCCTGGACGTACTCCAAAGCACTTAAAATCAGCTTTAGCAACACATGACAGTTTGTGTAATGCTACTGATTGGAACATATACAGTACACTCCTCTTTGTCATTCTGCCTCTTTGTTGCGCTGTCAGTCTTTGTCTTGTTCATTTGTATTCTCTCTCTCTCTCTCTCTCACACACACACACACACAAAGATAGGGCTTTTGCAGTAGAGTACCAGGCAGTGCTGACCTCTCACTGTCTACCTCTGTCTGTCATACACACATGCACATACAAACACACACTAACCAGACAGTACCAGTCTCTCGTTCTGGCAATAATAAAAGGTCCTTTATGCTCTGAGAATTTTCATCGAAACGATGGAAACACACACACACACAGTCAAAAAGTAACCCACTTCAAAGTTAACACAGTGACTTTGCACATCTGAGCTTCTGATAGCAGCTGATAACAGTATCCGGCCAAACCAAACACTCACGTGCATGGACACACACTGGCAGATATGTAACCCCCATATGATCACACCCCACATTCACATACACACACAGACATGTGAAGGAGCAGATTACCTTGGGATGAGAGCGAAACAACACAGATCAAAGTGTTAGTGTGTGTCACTGACAGTCAAGCAGGTGCACATGTGCTTTCATGTTTCACCTGCACAGTCAGAGTGTGCTGCAGTTCAAAATATTTACTTTACCAAGTACATATAAAGATGATCTTGGGCTCTGCAATACAGAAAAAAACATTAAGTGTTTTTGTGTGACCAACAAACTCAAATGAATGGGTTAGTGAAAATTACATTTTACATTTATTATTATTATAATTATTTTCAAAAACCTTGAAATCTGTACAAAAACTTTTTTACTCTTGGACTGAGCTGTTTCCCCTGTTTTCAGTCCTTATGCTAAGCTAAGATAACTGGCTCTAGTTTCATATTAAACAAACAGAGAAGTGCACAAGTGTATTTCCCAAAACCTCAAACCATTTCTTAAGATACAATATGTGAGTGCTGGTGTACAAATTATAAACTCCTGCTTTTTAAGGGACACAGTGAAGAGGAAAAATGGGTCAACATTTGATTTTTGTTATTTAAGTGTGTGTGTGTGTGTCTGCCCCGGACCCCTGCTGCACCCATTAAACTGTTTTATCATATGAGGACTGTAGTTGCTCCAATTTATGTAGATTGAATCTCTCCGAAGGTGCTGTCAATGAAAACTGAGTGATTCAGTCACCGCAGGCGGTCTTTGATAAGAGACAGTGCAAGAGACTGCACAGAAAATGAATCACACATGCACACACAGACATACAGCACGTGACACTCAACCATCTAGAAAGTCAAATGCTTCTTTCATCATATGG